CTGTTTTCTCTCAGTGATGTGAGCAGACCTTCTGAGTTTTCTCAACAATGTTCTGCTTTTGTCTATTATAGAGCAGAATATGCTTACTCCAGACCAACCATTGCATCTGTAAGACTTTAGCCCCTTTGGAGGTCTAGGGCTTATTTATACATACATATATTTGCAAAGTTCTTATAAATGTGTTAAGAGGCAGAGATTGGCAAAGGGGAAGTGGGCACCTTAAAGGACATGACTATCATGCATTATGAGGAAATCATAAAACTACAGAATCCCTACAGTGTGGAAGTAGGCCATTCAGCCCGTCAAGTCCACACTGACTATCCCAACAACATTTCATTCAGACCCAGCTCTCTACCCTACCTCTGTAACCCTGCATTTCTCATGGCTAATCCACCTAGCCTGCAAATCCCCAGACACTATGGGCAATTTAGCATGGCTAATCCACCTAACCTGTACATTCTTGGACTGTGGGAGGAAACCAAAGCACCTGGAGGAAACCCACACAGACAACAGGGTGAACGTATAAACTCCACACAGAGAGTTGTCTGAGGATGGAGTTGAACCTGGGTCACTGGCACTTTGAGGCAGCAGTGCTAACCACTGAGCCATCATGCTACACACAGACATTAAATGAGTATGTATTTCTGTTTTCATATTGGAAAAGATGAAACAAAACAAAACAGAGGCAACATGAAATTGGGAGGTTTACAGATCTGTTACTGCCTGACTATGGTCCTTCCAACGTTTAATTTCACCACAAGGGGGGCAAACTAAGCAGCCTGTTCTTATAAGATAACAAGGTGTAGAGCTGGATGAACACAGCAGGCCAGGCAGCATCAGAGGAGCAGGAAAGCTGATGTTTTGGGTCTAGACCCTTCTTCAGAAATGGGGGAGGGGAAGGGGATTCTGAAATAAATAGAGAGCTAGGGGGAGCCGGATAGAAGATGGATAAAGGAGAAGATAGATAGAGAGGAGACAGTTCTTATGTTCACATATGAAAAAACAGTGCAATGAAGGCATCTACCAGCAACCTGGCTTCTCAGTTCTTTCAACTCTTTAATAAAAAGATTTCACTTGCAATTTTCAGATTCAAATGTACAATCTAGACAGCTTTAGAAAATTATGGCTGATGCATCTTCAGTATCTACACATATTTATGTCAGTACCCAAGGTGGAAACCATTAGGCCCTGGCAACAAGCAGTACAAAGGAAAACGCATTAAATGGTATGTATTGGACTGGTGTCATTAAATCAAACTTTGTGCTTATTCCCACGTTACTCTTTTTAAGATACCATGGCTTAAATGTGTCCAATAACCTGTGACTTACACTTCAAAACAGCACATGCTTCGCTGCAGAGCACTTTGGGAGATCCCGAGGTTATGAAAGCTACTGTTTAAATGTAATTTATGTTTTGCAAATCCACAAAGAGGAGCAGTGTTTCAGTAAGGTTGTGGGCAAAAATCACGTATCTGATGAGGGATGTAATGAATTGGGATTTCACTGAATTAAAGGACTACAGTGCTTTTCTGCTACTGCTGCTTGTATCTACTACTGCCAGAAGAGCAGCTGTCATATATTGTCACACTAATTTGTTTTGCACTGTCTTCCTTCATCCAGCATTAGATAAGATGTGGAGCAGAAGTAGGCCATTCAGCCCCTTGAGTCTGCTCCACCATTCAGTGAAAGCAATGCTGACTTGATTAGCCTCAACTCCACTTTCCTGCCTTTTCCTATGGCCTTGATTCTCATACTGATTAAAAATTTGTTTTATCTCAGCCTTGAATATACTCAATTACCCAATAAATTCCTCCTCATCTGTCTTAAATGTACAAACCCTTATTCTGAGATTATGTCCTCTTATCCTAGACATGGGGAAACAACCTTTTGCAGCTCCTTTGTCAAGTCCCCTGAGAATCTTGTATGCTTCAACTAGGTCACCTCTCATTCTTCTAAACTTGAATGAATAAACATTAGTCTGCAATTCTGGACTACCAGTTCAGATATACCACCACCTCTCAAAATCTGCCTGATGGAATCAAAGCTGCTACTTGCTCAGCAAAATGATCCACTGAAGTGTTTTGGCAAAGTTGGGAAATTCTACCTATGTCTCCAGACAGACTGGAACCTAAGTCCAGCTTAAGCCTACTTGGCCATGTTACCTTAATTCAACAGCTATCATGGTGGGATTTGAACAACATCCCTACAGAATCTCAATTACCAGTCCAGTGATATTACCACTACACCATTAGTTCCTATGCAAACAAACACTCAAGGACACCCAGCATCCAACAATGACCAGATCGACCCCTTTGTTCCCCTCTGAAAGACATTGTTGTAGTTTTTCAGATCTGATCAAGTAACCAGAATACTGATATTTTCCTTTCTAGATGTCATCACTTAAGAGTTTTTTTTAGATCTTCTATTTTGCATTCTTCATTTGTCTAATGATCTGTTTTAGCATATGACATAACATTCACATTCAAAAGTCTCTATTTTCTACCGTAGCTCTCATGTCCGAGGCATACGTAAAGGTAGATAGAATGTAACATTTTGAGATTTCTTCTTGTTAAAGCCTGAGTCATCTTGTTGTTAACATATCCTTTGTCTTCACAAATTTACAGCTGTTTATCTCTATCCTTCTAACTGTATGCCACATCAGCCATCTTGTGTTATCATTTTTTCTCTAAAAAGACAAACTTATCCACTTTTCCCAGTCTGAAACCATCTAGTTCAAACTTCACTCCAGTTTCTTCTAAGAAATTCCTTCCAACTAACATTATTTTTGTCTTTTTGGTGTTCATATTCATTAGGCACCAGGTTATAGTCCAACAGGTTTATTTGAAAACACAAGCTTTCGGAGCCTCAGTCCTTCTTCAGGTGTCAGTGAGAGAGGCAATATCAGACACAGAATTTATAAGTAAAAGATCAAAGGCTCACACAACTGATGAAGAAGTTCTAAACAAGCCTAAGATGCTGATAAATCTTTAATCAGTTAGAAGGTTTTAATTTATTAATATGTAAATCCCCAAATTCCTTTGAAGTCACTGCCCTAAGAGAACTAAAGGTTTTATCTTTGTAAAGAAGAGGTGACATTTTAGGTCAGACAAAGCATGTTAGGTGTGAGGCCTTGTTTAGAATCTGTTTGTGTTTTGGTTTGAAATCAAACTGGTTTTATTTCTAAAGTAGGAATTTATAAAAATCCACCTTGGCTGACTGTCTGTAAACTGTGTGCTTTTTGAACAAAATGGAATGTATCTGCAAATACAAATCTGTGGAGTGAATGTGTGTGTGTGAGAGTGTATATGTGTGCTTGTGAGAGAGAGAGAGAGGGAGGGAGAGTCAGTGAGTGTGCATGAGGTGAGGGAGGGAGAGAGAGTGCATGTGTGCGTGTGAGTGTGTGTGTATGTGTGAGGAGGGGAGAGAGAGTGTGTGTGTGAGTGCGTGTGTATGTATAAGAAGGGGAGAGAGAGTGTACGTGCGAAGAGGGGAAAGAGATTGTGTGTGTGTGCGTGTGTGTGTGAGCATGTGTATGTGTGAGGAGGGGAGAGAGAGTGGGTGTGTGTGTGTATGTGTATGTGCGAGGAAGGGAGAGAGTGTGTGGGTGTGTGTGAGTGCGTGTGTATGTGTGAGGAGGGGAGAGAGACTGTGTGTGTGCGTGTGTGCATGTGTGCATGTGAGGAGGGGAGAGAGAGAGAGTGTGTGTGTGTGGGTGTGGGTGTGGTTGTGCGAGAGAGAGAGAGGGAGGAAGAGACAGTGAGTGTGTGTAGGGGAGTGAGAGTGTGCATGAGGGAGAGAGAGAGTTGTGTGTGTATGTGTGAGGAGGGGAGAGAGTGTCTGTGTGTGCGTGTGTGTGGAGGGGGGTGGAGAGAGAGAGAGAGAGAGAGAGAAAAAGAGTGTGTGATTCTGCAAGTAGGTGCTGTGTTCTCAGCAGACTGCAGGTTTCTTTTGTTCTTGCCTCCAAATTTTATCCATGGAAGTACCTCCAATTCTGATTATCTTTTCAGAATTGAGGTGAATAAGGTGACGGGTATAGCCATTTCGTACACACCTTTTCACCTGAAACATTACCCATTTGTCTCTTTTTTGGCCTGATACTCACTACGTAGGTCCCAATATAGATAGGGTCTGGATATATTTTACAGTCAATGTCACTTTTCAGCAACCCATTGTACCAGCCTCCTGGGATGATGGGTACATTGGCCAAGTAAAACTCTGAAATCACAAAACTCACATACCAGACATACTGCAAACACAGCAGCTAGGTGCTAATGATATTAGCATAATGTAAAAGGCAACAGGTATTTTGGACAGACATACCCCCAACAACTTATCCAATAAACAAAGGACAGCCCAGATAGAAAGGCACTGGGTTCTGCTACACAAAGGAACTGACAGTAGCATGCCATCTAAATGATTGACTCTTGTGTCAAACTATTAAGTGTATCTCCCTGACTGGCCAGAACTATAGAAAGTTCCAGAAAACCATCTAAAAGGTATAAAAACACGGTTCACCTGCAGACCTCCCTCTTGGAACTGCTCTTGGAATCTCTACAATCATCTGTGGCCTTCCGAGGAGACCAGCATGGCAAGATGTAGAGACCAGCTGATCATCCAGAGTGTGAGGGGAAGAAAGCAGCTTCGCAGACCCAGAGATAGAGCCACAGAGACAGCAACTGCATAATTTACAAGCGACTTGGGAAGAATTGTAACTGTAAGGGGCCAAACAGGATTAGAGATACTATGTTTAGTATTAAATATTATTGTAACTTTGTTCTTAATAAACTGTTTTTTCTATTGGTACAGCTCTATATGTATTGATTTGACCACTTTGGTATTGTAGGACATCTGGTCAAATTCATTCATAACATTCTGGTCGGAGTTGTCTGTAAATTGTTTGAAGAGGAACAAGACAACACCATCTATTAAATTTTAGTGATAATCATGGACAAAAGTTTTTTCATAGACTATTTGTAAAAATTTTGTAAACCCAGACATTCATTATTCTTTTGTTTTCCTTTAATTGCTTTTTTTTTAATAACTTTGTAACATTCAATATTAGAAATTTACAAGAAACTTATGTTATATGGTAGAAAACATGAGCATACAGTAATTCTTAAAGCTGCAAAGAATATTCAGCGGTCAAAGAGTTAAAACCATTGTGACCCATAATGACCTCGCAGGCACATCTTCTTGTAGATAAGGTCTTACGAAAAACAAAAATAATCTGGCATAAGGTTCAGTTGCAATGATCCTTCAGAGAACCAGATCCAAACAGACTAAGTTTTTGTTTCATTAGAGGAAGCCATCTTAAAACAGACCAAGAATTTTGTTAAAGAGTACTAAAGATATTATACAGAGTTGCATTTCCAACTTGATTTCACACAAAAAGAGCTTAAGAACAACAAATACTCCCAGATCAGTGTATCCAGGTCTTACTTGTTTACATGTCTTAATTGTAGAAGGCAGTATTTTAGCCACTTCATAAAGCAAGAGGACCTTCTCCATTCTGCTCGCCTCCACATGCTTTGTTAGTTTTATTTTTGTATTTAAGTCGCCATAATTCTTTGGAGAGACAGAAAGTGAAAAATGGAGAGAAGACAGACAGAAAGATTGTTCTTTGTGAGGCTATTGAAACAGGAGAACCACCTTAAGAACACTGTGACCCGCTATGCTCTTGAAGGCCGAGGTGGTGGAGTGCCAATGTCCACTGTGATGTTTGTGTACATCGGGTACTTCGCTACATTCACCAGTTTGTATTTCAAGGAGTTGATCCCATCCTGCTTCATTGTAACTTTAGTGTTCTGGATTTTTGTAAACCTGAAAGAGAATTGAGATTTAAACATTTAATCAAGACAATTAGTCGTCAAAAGATTCCTTTCAACGGGTTAAATACAGTTGTATTTTCTTTCACTGTGACTTGCAAACATTCAAAAAATGAGTCTCATGTTTTCAGAACCAACTACTAGACCTGAGGTTTTTTGAAAACAAGACCGGTCACTGCCCTCTATAAAGTATCACTGAGTGAAAATGACTAACGACATATACATAAAGTCATACCGCACGGAAACAAATCCTTTGGTCTAACCAGTCCATTCCGAACATAATCCCAAACTAAACTAGTCCCACCTGCCTGCTCCTGGCCCATATCCCTCCAAACCTTTCCTATTCATGTACATTTAAGTGTCTTTTAAACGTTGCAACTGTGCCCACATCCACTACTTCCTCAGGAAGTTCATTCCACACGCAAACCACCCTCTGTGTAAAAAAATTTGTCCCTCATGTCTTTCTAAAATCTCTCTCGTCTCACCTTAAAAAATGTGCCCCATAGTCTTGAAATCCCCCATCTTGGGGAAAAGGCACCTACCATTAACCCTACCTATACCCCTCATGATTTATAAAACTTTATAAGGTTACCCCTCAACCTCCTACGCTCCAGTTAAAAAACGTCCCAGCCTATCCAGCCTTTTTTTTATAACTCAAACCTTCTACACCTGGCAACATCTAATACCTTTCATAATACCTTCTGAACCTTCCCTAGCTTAATTATATCCTTTCTATAACTGCGTGACACAGTACTCCAGAAGAGGCCTCTCCAACGTCCTCTGCAAACTAAAGACTTCCCAAATCCCATGCCCAAAGGACTGAGCAATGGAGGCAAGCATGCTAAATGCCTTTTTAACCAACCTAATGCAAATTTCAAAGAATTATGTACCTGAACCCCTAAGTCCCTCTATTCTACAACGGCCCTACCATTAATTATACAAATCCTGCCCATTTGTTGTACCAAAATGTAATACCTTGCATTTATCAAGATATATCCAGACCTGCCATTTTTCAACCCATCGACCCATTTGATCAAGATCCCTGCGTAATCTTAGAAAACCTTCTTCACTGTCTACTATGCCACCAATGTTGGTGTTGTCTGCAAACTTACTACCCATGCCTTCTAAATTCTCATCCAAATCATTTATATAAACGACAAACTCTGCATGTTAAAAGAAGCATGGCATCTGAGACAGGCAGCTGGTCTCTTCTAACACGTTGGCAGTCTCTTCGTCAGTGATAACAAGACAATGGGCCTGCTGACCCCTGTTGAGGTCCTTACCATGTATTCATGCCAAGTGATTGAAATGAAAATTGACTTCACTCTTTAGGCTCCCACCGAACTATTTGGTTAATAGATTTCAACCAGCATGCAAACCCTTTCAGGTTGAAAGTTCAGACTTGATAGCTCAAAGCCCTCATTCCTTGAATCTCTCAAACTTACATGAATTTAATGAAAAAAAGAACCTGGAATTAAGAGCCTCCTAAATCCATTGTCGATTGTCAGAAAACCCATCTAGTTCACTAATGGAGCAGTAAAGTTAACGTTTCAGGTTGGGACCCTTCTTCAGAAATGGGGAAATTTCTGAAGAAGGGTCCCGACCCGAAACGTCAACTTTCCTGCTCCTCTGATCTGCCTGACTGCTGTGTTCATCCAGCTCCACACTATTTTATCTCTGACTCCAGCATTGGCAGTTCTTAGTATCTCTTTAATTAATGTCCTTTAGGGGAGAAAACTGTCATCCCTACTTGGTCTAGCCTACATGTGACTCCAGACCCACAGCAATGTGGCTGACTCTCAACTGCTCTCTGGGCAATTAAGGATCAGTAATAAATGCCGGACCAGACAGTGATGCCTACAACACATGAATGAATTTTGAAAAAATGCGTCTCAAGGAGAGCAGATGATGAGAGACAAAAATACAAAACCATTCCTGTGTGCCAGTGCCTTTGACCAAGGGGCCCTCAAGTGTATGCAAAAAAACCCATGCACATATAAACTTGCTGCAGGATGAGCCTCCTGCCTGCTAATAGCAGTTGTAGGATGGGGCATCTAACTGGGTATTAATTGCTCAGACAGCTGCAATCAGAAAAAATAGTGCTCCTCCAGACTCAAATATTAAAAATGTAGACTCGTTGCTAGTCACCACTAGGCTCTCTCACCTGGCTGTCACCTCAACCCATCATCTCAATGTGCAGATTGGCCCCATTCCAGTTATACATTCATCAGCTCCTTCTTCACTCATTCTCCCTTCTCCTAGTCAATATCTGCTTTGATTGCAACTCCTTACCCTTTAAAGACCTACCAAGACACACTGCCCATAATACAATAGCTTAAATATCAAAAAGTCTTCACTGGACAGTTAGAAACATAAAAAGTAGGAGCAGGTATAGACCATTCAGCCCATCAAGACTGCTCCACCATTCAATATCAACATGGCTGATCTTCTAACTCCACAACTCAAATCTTGTTCTTTCCCCATATCCCATGACATCTTTAGCATCTAGAAATCTATATTTCTTCCTTAAACATATTCAGTGATTTCATCTCTACAGCATTCTGTGGCCACCCTCGCAGTAAGAAAATTTCTCCTCATCTCAGTCTGATATGCCCTAGCAGGTATCAAAGACAGCACAGCACAGGAACAGGTCCTTTGGCTCACCAAGCCTGGCTGACACATGATGCCTTTCTAAACTAAAAGCCTTTTGCCTCTACACAGTCTGTGCCCCTCTATTTTCTGCTAATTCATGAATCTGTCAAGATACCTCTTAAACCTTGCTATTGTAACCACTTCTACCACCTCCTCTGCAGGCATATTTCAGGTACGTACCATGCTCTGTGTAAAAATCTTGTCCCTCACATCTCCTTTCAACTTTCCCCCTTTCTGTCCTGGAAAAATAACTCCAACTCTCCATTCTATCCATGCCTCTCATAATTTCATAAACTTCTGTCAGATTGCCCCTCAACCTCCGACGTTCAAGTGAAAACAAACCAAGTTTGACCAATCTCTCCTCATAGCCAATACGCTCCAAGCCAGGCAACATCCTAGTAAACCTTTTCTGTACCCTCTCCAAAGCATGCACATTCTTCTGGTAGTATGGCAACCAGAACAGTGTGCAATATTCCAAATGTGGCCTAACTCAAGAACAAAAACTGAAGTTGCTGGAGGTCCGCTCTGCAGGTCCGGCAGCATCCATGAAGAAAAATCAGAGTTAACATTTTGGGTCCAGTGACCCTTCCTCAGAACGACTCCTAACTTAAATTCTATGCAGCTGCAGCATGACATGCCAATTTTTATCACCTCACATTTACCCAGATTAAATTCCATCTGACATTTCTCTGCCCAAGTCTCCAGCCTATTTATATTCTGCTGTATCCTCTGGTAATTCTCCTCACTATCCACAGCTCCCTCAATCTCTATGCCATCTGCAAACTTACTAAGCAAACCACCTACGTTCTCCTCCAAATCATTTATATATGTATTACAACTGGGGTCCCAACACCGATCCCTGCTGAACACCACTGGGCACACTTCTTCAGATTTTGTACAAGATCCCAACAATTTCCCCCCTTACCTCCCTCAGTATTCTGGAATAGATTCCATCAGGTCCTGGGGACTTGTCTACCTTAATGCCTTTCAAACACCCAACACGTCTTTTTTGTGTTGATATATCACTCTCTAGACTCAACATCCATCATATCCTTCTCCTTTGTGAATACCGATGTTAAGTTTTTGTTAAGGACTTCACCTTCTTCCTCTGGTTTCATGAGTACCTTGAAACTGTGGCCCTTTATTCTGAACCCCTGGTCAGGGGAAACATCATCCCTATGTTTCAATTAGGTTCTCCCTCATTCTTTTAAATTCCAGTGAATGCAGGCCCCATCAGTGTAATCTTTTCTCATGTGAAAAACCTGACATCCCAGGAATCAGTCTGATGAACATTCACTGCACTCTCTCTATAGCAAGTATTTATTTTCTGAAGCAAGGAGACCAAATCTGTAAGCAACACTCCAAGTGTGGTATCACCAAGGCGCTGTACAGCTGCAGTAAAATTTCTTTGCTCCTGTATTCAAACCGTCTTGCAATGAAGGCCAACATACCATTTGCTTTTCTAATTGCTTGCTGCACCTGCATGCTTGCTTTCAATGACCAGTGTACAAGTACACCGAGGTCTCTTTCTACATCAACCATTCGTAATCTATCATTTAAACAATACTGTATCATTCTGTTTTTCCTACCCATTTTTCATTTTCTGCTGCATTTGCCATGCATTTTTTCCACTGAGTCAACTTGGCTAAATTACTCTGAAGCCTCTTTACATCCTTTTCACCGTTCACACCCCCCACCTAGGTCTGTGTCATCATCAAACTTGGAAATATTACACTTGCTTCTTTCATCTAAACTGTTGATATATATTTTGAATAGTGGGGAGCACAATAGACCAGATAGTTGATCTTTGCAATACTTCAATTGGCACAACCATTCATTCTAAAAATAACCCATTTATTCCTACTCTGCTTCCTGCCTATTAACCAATTCTTAATCCATGCCAGTACATTACCACCAATCCCATGTGTTTCGATTTTGCACAATAACCTCTCATGTGCCTGGGAAGAAATAGCAGGTAGCTGCATTTCCCTAGTCCTATTTAACTTAGGTCCTAAGGCCAAGATAAGGTTTGAATTAGACCTGCCAGCATTTCATGAGTTTGAATGGGTAATTTACTGTTTCTCTCATAAGGCTTTTGTTTTGACTCAGATACTGCAGCATTGACCATAAAAATCGAACCTGTACAAATCCATTTTGAATTTAAAACACAACACTTAAAAAAATTATGGAATTGGTCAAAAAATGCCAAATATAATATTGGTTCATAATGAAAATTGTTCTTTTTTTAGAATGCATCCAAAACTGTTTTCTAAGTAACTCTTTTTCTAAGTCAAAGAAAACAGCAATACTTGGTAATGTTCTGGTGCAAATAACTGATGCAAG